AGATTATAAGCTTTTTGGATAGAAAGGCGCGGCGCGTGCTTCATTCTGCTTGACGCGGTAGATGAACATGGGTTAGATGTTGTGAGCTTGTGGTGCTGCATTACATTTGCAATGGATCGTACATTCTGCAATGGCATGGGAAGAAATACCCATTTGTAATGGAGAGAAGAAGAAGAACAACAACAAAGCCTTTAAGTCCCAAACAAGTTAGAGTAGGCTAGAGTCGAAACCCAGCAGAAGCAATTAAGGTCCAGACACGTGAATAACTGTTTTCTAAGCACTCCTATCTAAAGCTAAGTTTTTGAGTATATTCTATCCTTTCAAATCTTTTTTTATTGTCTTTATCCAAATCAACTTCGGTCTTTCTCTGCCTTTCTTCATATTATTATCCTGGCTTAGGATTTCACTACGCACTGGTGCCTCTGGAGATCTCCATTGGACATGTCCAAACCATCTCAACCGGTGTTGGACAAGCTTTTCTTCAATTGATGTTACCCCTAATCTATCACGTATATCATCGTTTCGAACTCAATCCCTTCTTGTATGACCGTAAATCTAACGCAACATACGCATTTCTGCGACACTCATTTGTTGAACATATCGTCTTTTCGTAGGCCAACATTCTGCATCATAACAACATAGCAGGTCTAATCGTCTTCCTATAAAACTTGCATTTTAGCTTCTGTGGTACCCTTTTGTCACATAGAACATCAGATGCTTGGCGCCACTTTATCCACCCTGCTTTGATTTTATGGCTAACATCTTTATCAATATCCCCGTCTCTCTGTAGCATTGATCCTAAATATCGAAATGTATCATTCCTAACCACTACTTGCCTTCCAAACTAATATCTTTCTCCTCCCGAGTAGTAGTGTCGAAGTCACATCTCATATACTCAGTTTTAGTTCTACCGAGTCTAAAATCTTTGGACTCCAAAGTCTCCCATCATAACTCCAGTTTCTGATTCACTCATGTCCGTCTTTCATCAACTAGCACTACATCGTCTGCGAAAAGCATACACATGTCCCCTTGTCTGTCCCTTGTGACCTCATCCATCATTAAGGCAAACAGATAAGGGCTCAAAGCTGACCCTTGATGTAGTCCTATCCTAATCGGGAAGTCATCCGTGTCTCCATCACTTGTTCGAACATTAGTCACAACATTGTTGTACATGTCCTTAATGAGCCCGACGTACTTCGTTGGGACTTCATGTTTGGACAAAGCCCACCACATAATATTCCTTGGTATTTTATCATAAGCCTTCTCCAAGTCAATAAAAACCATGTGTAGGTCATTCTTCTTCTCCCTATACCGCTCCATAATTTGTCTTATTAAGAAAATGGCTTCCATGGTTGACCTTACGGGCATGAAACCAAATTGGTTCATAGAGACCCGCGTTATTGCTCTCAAGTGATGCTCGATAACTCTCTCCCATAGCTTCATAGTATGGCTCATCAACTTAATTCCCCGGTAATTAGTATAACTTTAAATATTCCCTTTATTCTTGTAGATCGGTACCAATATACTTCCCCTCCACTCGTCAGGCATCTTGTTCAATCGAAAAATATGGTTGAACAACTTGGTTAGCCATACAATAGCTATGTCCCCGAGACATCTCTACACCTCGATTGGGATACCATCCGGTCCCATTGCATTACCTCCTTTCATCCTTTTCAATGCCTCTCTGACCTCAAATTCTTGGATTCTCCATACAAAACGCCTATTGATGTCATCAAAAGAGTCATCCAACTGAAAGGTCGTGTCCATATTCTCACCATTGAACAATTTATCAAAATACTCTTGCCATCGATGTCGAATCTCATCCTCCTTCACCAAGAGATGTTCCCTTTCATCTTTAATGCACTTAACTTGGTTGAAGTCTCTTGTATTTCTTTCACGAACCCTAGCCATCCTATAAATGTCCTTCTGTCCTTCCTTCGTACTCAAATGTTGGTAAAGATCCTCGTATGCTCTACCATTTGCCACACTTACAGCTCGCTTTGCAGTCTTCTTTGCCACCTTGTACTTCTCTATGTTGTCCACCCTCCTGTCATGGTACAAGCGTCTATAGCATTCTTTCTTCTCCTTAATAGCCCTTTGGACTTTCTCGTTCCACCACCAAGTATCTTTAGCCTCGCCTCCACTTCTCTTGGTTACTCCACACACCTCTGAGACCACCTTCCGAATGTTGGTTGCTATCTTTTTCACATGTTGTTTATGTCCTCTTCTTCCTTTCAAAAGCCTTCTTTGATAACCATTTTCCTGAATACCTCTGACGTCTCCCCTTTCAGTTTTTACCACTTTGTTCTCTCAATCTTAGCTTGTTTGTCCCTATGGGCACGCACCTGAAAATAAAAGTATGCCACCAAAAGGTTATGTTGAGAAACAACACACTCTCCTGGTGTCACCTTACAACCCAAGCATGCCCGTTTATCCTTTCTTCTTGCGAGGACAAAGTCAATCTGGCTAGAGTGTTGTTCGTTATTGAAGGTCACTAGATGTCATTCTCTCTTTCTAAAGAAAGTGTTGGCTATCATTAGGTTAAAAGCTACTGCAAAGTCCAGAACTTCCTCCCCCTCCTGATTCTTACTACCGTACCCAAAACCTCCATGAACTGCCTCAAAACTTGCGCTTGTAGTACCTACATGCCCATAAAGATCTCCTCCTATAAAAAGCTTCTCACTACTAGGTACAGCTCTAATAAGGCCATCTAAGTCTTCCCAGAACTGTCTCTTAGCACTCTCGTCGAGGCCTACTTGGGGGGCATACGCACTAATTACGTTCAAGACCGTATCACCAACGACAAGCTTGACTAAGATAATCCTATCTCCTTGCCTTCTCACTCCCACCACACCATTCTTGAGGCTCTTATCAATAAAAACTCCTACTTTATTTCTATTCGTGACTATCCCTGTGTACCAAAGCTTGAAACATGTATTGTCCACCTCCTTCGCTTTCTGATCCTTCCATTTAGTCTCTTGAACGCATAATATATCTACATGCCTCCTAGTCACGGTATCAACTAATTCTCTTAACTTACCTGTAAGCGACCCTACATTCCAACTACCTAAACGGATCCTAGTTGGTTCGACTAGCTTTCTTACCCTTCTCACCCGTCGACTCAGATGTGAAGACCCTTGCTCATTTTTCACTACACCCGGGTGCCGATGTAGCGCGCCACTAAGAAAGCGACGACCCGATCCTTGCTCACTTGACACCATGCCCAGATCGCGACACGGCGCGTCACCAAGGGGGTGCCGACCCGGCCCTTGCCCATTTAACACCATACCCGGGTCCCGATATGGCGCGCCGCTAAGAGGGTTACGCCCCAACAGTTTTCTTTCGGGTTTTATCTTCATTAGAATGGCTAGGTTTAACGTTGGCTTGTCACGCCTATCACAACCCTCCTCTTTTACCAGGGTTTGGGACCTGCTATGTTGAGATAGCATAGGCGGAGTTCAATATTTTTGCAATGGCATGGGAAGAGTTATCCCCATAAGGACTTCAATATTTTTGCAATGGCATGGGAAGAGTTATCCCCATTGGTAACGCATGTCCTGAAATTTGAAGAAAGCTCTGCAGTCAGTTCAAATTTTGCAACTGAAAGTTCATATCCCCATTGATTATATCAACCACACTGCTTTTGTCTGACCAGCTGTATTTTCCATTTCTTTTCAATGGAGTCAGCCCCGGGAAGGCCAAGCCTCTGTTGTACATAACAGTCCAATCCAAGTGAGAATATTACTAGTATACTAGAAACACTAGAGTGAGCAAGCTAAACAAAACTCATCAGTAAATTCAGTATATCACATCACACGCAGAGCATATATGTACAGACAGTCGGACAGCACTGAGCTGCAACTGGAAGCCAGCAACGCATCCGGCAGCAGACGAAAAGAAACGGCTCAGATTTTGGACGGCGGAGCGGAGTGCTTGGCCGCTTTGAGGATGGCGGCCGACGCGGTGCGGATGGCGGAATCGCTCTCTCTGGGCGGCGCGCCCGGGTCCCGCCGGCTGGACTTGCGCCACCGCCGATCCCACAGCAACGACCAGCACTTGACGGTCTCGGCGTCCGGGTCCCTCTCCCTGCACCACCACCAACCGCACGGCGCATCGATCGGTTATTATATCAGTCATCACAAACATCAAGATAATAATCGAACCAGGGCCATGCACGCACTTGAACTGTATGTGGTCACCAAATTAACAAACAAGAGTGCACGGCACTATGGACTGCTGCTTCACTTAACAGTACGTGGTTACCACGGCAGCTACGGGCTGACTGGTACGAAGACGTTTTCCAAGGTGTGGTTGTGTGGTAATCAACCTATCTATGCTTTAAAAGGAGTCGCTTTCACCGGACTTGGCTATCAGCCTTCAGTGCCTTCCTATTGACAGGTGCATGATCATGCATGATCATGCTGCTAAGTAGCCAGTACTAATACATTGTAAGATGATACGTGGACGGACAGGGATGGAATAAACCATCGGCAGTGGACACTTGACACTTGGACCAAGGAAGGGAAGTGTCTACACATCTCAAGCTTGACACAGCTTGGCCTTGGCGGCACCCAGCACCTCAGCTACGACCATTTGTATTCAGAAGACGACGACTAGGCGTGCTTCCCTTGGAAATGTCGTGCCGGGTTTGGATTACTTAGCTCGGATTTGTGCCAACTTTCAACGCATGGATTTGATTTGATGGGGCCCTATACTACTATGATTACCATACCAAACCAAGTATATTCCTAATTCAACGAAATTAGAACTGGAGCAATAATACTTGCACACTTGTGGGTCTGCCATTTTTTTATTTTAAAAAACAGACATATTTTTCGACCAATATAAAAAAACAGACATATGAATTCGCCATTCATATTATGCTACGTGTTTTGGGATCAAATTAAACTGATCGATCAAGTCATATGGCAAACACCTACGCAGTGTTTGGAGATGATTGAATTTGTTTTTTTTTTTTTTTGGAGCTTGGAGATGATCAATTACCTCTTGTTGCAGTCGGATGCGACGCTGGGGCTCCGGCAGCCGGAGGCGGACGACGTCCGGGTGTGGCGCGGCGCGGTGAAGCTCCGGGTGAGCGACCGTGGCATGTAGAAGTTGAGCAGGACGCCGTCGCTGCTGCTGCGGAAGCTGCCCCCGCCGACGCTCCCGCTGTCCCGCCGCCGCGCCGACGCCCTCCGCTCGGGCTTCCCCGCTGCCGGCGGCGCCTGCTGCTGCCCGCCAGACGCCGACCGCGCGGCCGTGTCCTTCCCCTCTGTCTTCGCCGCGGGCGCGGGCGCAGCCGCAGCAGCAGCGTCGGCTTCGCCGCCGTCGCCGTCGGCCCCGCCGCCGGCCTTCTCGACGAGGTCGGTGAGCGAGAGCTCGTACTCGGACTCGGGGAGGTCGTGCAGCATCCTCAGCATCTCCTCCCGCCGCCGCGCGATCTCCTGCGCCCTCGTCGACAACCCCGCGTCCATCGTCGGCCACGGGCTCATCCCGGGCACCCACAGCAGGCCCGCCGCGGCCGCCGGCCGCTCCGAGCTCGCCTGCAGCATGCCTACTCCGTCGCTCCCACTGCGCTACCACCTCGATCGACCGACACGGTGCCCGTTCCGCGCGCGCGGTCGTCGTCCACCACTCCGCCGACGATGGAGCGAGCGAGCGGGAGCGGATGGTCGCAGGTAGCCGCGTGGAGCCGTGTGTTTGGGCGCTCGCTGTTCGTGGCCTCCAGCCCGCTACGATATAAAAGAAGGAAGCGGTGGTGGCGGTGATGGACTCGATCGAGGGGTGCGAGCGCGACGACCCGGCGACTTGGAACGGGGTGGTGGTGGCGCGGGACCGATGGGCCCCCGTCCCGTCCGGAAAAAAATTCGGTGAAGTCCATCCCATCCAGAGGGGCGTCGGATCTTCTTCGGCTCACGAAACCGATGGGTGGGCTGTGGGGCAGGGGCACGCTGGAGTCTAGAAGCCAGGCACCAGCAAGCGAGCGTGCGGCGTGCGGTGCGCGCATCGCATCGGCCCGTGCCTTGGGTCGCAAGCATACAAGTCTAGAAGTCTAGAAGATGGGTGACTGGGTGAGTGACGGGCTGACAGGCCAGTTCAACGAACGCCGCGCTTGTCTGGGTCCGGTCTCAGGCTCGGCAACGTGGATCCGCCGCAGTCGCAGTCGTCGTTCAGTGAGCTGCACTGCACTGCACCCGTTGAGTGGAAGACTTGGGAGAGGGCATGGCTGGCCGAGTGTCCGTTGGAGTACGTTAGTGGTCGTTACACTCTTTCTAGCGGCACAGTCTGTCCCTGAATTTCTCCGCACCAGACGTCCTTCTCTTTGCAAGATAGTCGCACGCACCACGGCATCAGCACTAAGGCTCCGTTTAGATCCAAATTTTTTGTGGATTTTGGCTACTGTAGTATTTTCGTTTGTATTTGGCAATTAGTGTCTAATTATAGACTAATTAGGTTTAAAAGTTTCGTCTCGCGATTTCTCACCTAACTGTGTAATTAGTTTTTTTTCATCTACATTTAGTACTCCATGCATGTGCCGTAAGATTCGATGTGACGGATACTGCGTAAAATTTTTAAATCTAAACGGGGCCTAACCGATTGCATCTTGCAGCTTGCCAAGAACAAGAGGAGTAGCTCATGTGGGCACGTTTTTTTCAATGGTTAGTCGCAGTGTCTCACATCATTGACAAAAAAAAGGATCACTCGTAACCAATAATTTAAGAGACTCTCAACGGATCGGGATTCGGGATCGTACCTAGCAGGCTACTTGGTGAGATTGCATTGCTCCTTTCCTGGACACAGAAACAGCAGCTAGCAGGCATGTAGCGGAGGACCAGGAGCTGACTGCAACACTTTGATCATTCTATTGATGCTGCTGACACACCAACCATTGACACACCAACACTTTGATCATTCTACTTGATCGAGAGCTGTTCTGCACAATCACATCTGAATTGTTGTCGTCTCCACCGAGTCCATGAAAACAATGCAAAGCCAGCTGAGATAAAGGGGGCAGGGATCGATCACAAGTCGCAAAATTGGCTTGATTTTTGCTTAAATATATCCAGTCCAACGCTTACCTTTTTTCCCCCTCTCCAGATAACTACAAGACGACAACAAAAAGAGAGTCCTTAGGAAGACCTCTACAATACATAGTGAGGATTAGGCCATACTGAGGTCCGGATGCTGAAGCATATATATACAGGCAAGCAATCAATAAACATGGGCTAATAACCATACAAGAGAGCTGTGCTACTTATATTCGCAGCTTAATCCTACGCTAGCAATGTCATAATTTGATCACGCATGCCGTCTTGGCTCTTGAGACGAGACCTTCATCTGAAAAACAATCTTCTGGGATGTTAGCTCTCACCGTCCTTTCTATGTTGACCGTTGGAATTTATTGAAACCTACCAAAAAAGAGGACAACATTGAGACCTTCGAGGCTTCTTTTAATAGCTATTGAAAAAATTAAGTACACAGTTCACACAACAGTCTATTAACGCAAAATGAATGCTCACCTGACTTCCACTTGGCGAACTTTGCCCAGGTGTTTGTGCAGTAGGTGATCTTCCAGGAGAAAGTATTGTCGGTAAAATCCCAGGTGACTGACCATGGTTCGAAGCTGGGGAACGTAAGACAGAACTAACATGGTGGTATGGTGAGAACGGAGATGCCATAGGAGTCCTTCGAAGCCCCTGAGATAAGGGTCCACCACCAGGAGATATAGTAGGTGACAGTGATTTGCCTGGAGGTAACATGTTTATCCTGATCCTGTAACAAAACAAGAAAATCATGAGCTGTGGCATAGATTTAGATTAGCTATTCAGCATAAGTGGGAATTAGTGAAATACTTACTTGTTATGTACATCAACATACTCATCTGTTTCATCATAGATTTCTTCCTGCGAAGAGAGTCATGTCAGTTTACAATATCAGCCAAACTTTGTTTGAGAAAAAAAGAGAAGACAAACAAATCACCACGATTTAAGTTCAACTACGATCTTTTTTTCTAGTTTCTCTCCTAATTGAATAGAACCTAAGATGGCTAAAATGTTGCAACCAAATGATGTTTCCATAGGATATGGAGAACACTCATATAGCATCATTATCTAGTGATCTAGGTGCATACTTTGAAAAAAGAAAGAAAGCATGATCGAAATGTTATGCTGTGAACAATGTAAATACTTGTTCCACACCATGGGAATTTTAATTAAGAAATATGCGCAACCTGTAGCAGTTCTTCCATGACATCTTCCATTGTGATTATTCCGACTACCTCCTCATCCATTGAATAGCTTGGAAGTGGATCGGTGTTAAAATCAAGAATATTTTCCCGCTTCCTTTCTGATTTCTTATTATATGAGCGCCCATCTCCATGCTTCTCTATGTTAATTCTACGACTTCCAGCGGTGCTAGCAGAAGAGGGGGATGAGCCTGAAAGCCAAGACAAATCACGGTCATTTCCTGGAAATGCGTGTGATCAGCAAAAGGCTAATGGAATAGTACTGCGTACACAGAAACAGACATCTTTTAGAGTGAAGCTTAATCACCGCAGAAAATTTACTAGAAAAAAAAAATAAAAGGCATGTACCATCAGCATGAGCATCTTTGGGGTTTATTTTATAATCTGCAGTTGTGCTCTTTTGCTTTTCAGTGGATGCTCCTGCTTCCTTTGTTCGTTTAACTACCACAGCCATGTGGCTGTGACCTTTCTGGAACTCATTTAGAATGTCATAGAGAGGAAGATCATCAGCCACCCTGATATACAGAACAGTGGCAACATGTTGTGGAAATTAGAAGACAATCAATGCAGATTACTAAGGAGAAAGATATGCACCCATATTATCCAAAACATTTATGAATAATATATTGAACGCAATGAGTTCTTATACAGTTATGAACCTCAAAATAAGATTGCACAAATAAGAAATAATTTATGGTTGCCCCTAGGGGCTAGGGCTGGTCTGATGATACCTTGGAATTTTTCTGATAGTAACATTACGAATGGGCACTTCATCCTCAGCTCGGCAAGTAATCAAGTTTTTTACCTGAAAGGAGGGATTTTTACTATTGGTCAACAAACAAATAGGAAATTTATAAATTGTTCATTTTTTTTACATTAAGGATACCCTGGAAAAAAATAGACCAGGGTAGCAATTGATGTTATCCAAAAGTGCAATCAATTTAGGTCACTCACCAATATGAGGCCAATAATATTGCTTGGAATCCCAGAGTATATAGGAACACGACTATGCCCTCTAGTCATTATCATGCCCATCGTGTGTCTACAGAAAGATCAAATAATTCTATGAGTATAATATAACAATTATGGAATGCAAATACTCTAAGTTGAAAGATTCATACAAGTCCAGCTTAGCATTTATGTCAAGTGAGAAGGTTTTGGATATAGGAGTCATGGCATCTTTTGCAATCTTTTGAGTCAGCTCCAGAGCTCCTGTAATGATAGTGGTTTCATCATGAGTCAGCTCTCCACCTTTTCCAGCCTAACAACAAAGTAACAAAACACCATGAGTGCCAATATTGTTGTTTAGTTGTTGAGAGATAAAATTAAATAAAAGTCAAAAAGTTAATATTGATGCCATATAGGAATGTGCAATCACAATTGTTTGGGCGTTCGTCCTTGTTCACTCATATTAAGTGCTAAAACATAATGAAAAAGGTTATCTGGAATCCAATGAACGAGAAAATGAGGAACTTAAAGATAACTTTCGAGTTGCATGAGTAAAATAGGCACAATAATTCAAGCGGCATAAACATGTAACAGATGAAATAGCACAACATGAATGCAAGAAACTGATAGGTACATATGACAATATTTAAACTGGATATGAAACTTTCAAAGAGAAGTGTATACTAACCTCATTGCCGTGCATATCAACTAACGTCTTTAGCTCAGCTCTTCTCATTAGTGCAAAATGTCCCTTTCCCAGTAGCCAGTCCAACAACTAAATGGAGACAATTATAAGAATCAAATAAGGTACTGCAAAGCGTAAGTAACACATACATATGCTACAGCAATAAGGAGTTTGGTGCCCTCAACCAAACTGGTTGCCTTGTTTTTATGTGGTGAAAAATATGTTTCTGATGTTCACGTTCTATAGAATTGACAAGTTGTGGCATTCACTTCACAATCAGATGTATAATTAATTCCATAGAATTGCTAATGGGTAACAGTCAGGTTATTGTGGAAGTGATTAGACTTTTCTTTAACTGGAACTGGTTTGCCCTAAATGAGTCAGCCACATTTAGAATTGTGCATATATACAGACATCTCCATTTACTTAATCCGGCGACATTATAAGATCAAAACAACGGTTCTTGCTTCACGATTCCAGTTACTTCTTCTTGTGTCATTGGGCGGATACCAAGTTAAATAAGTGACTTCATAGTCAGCGTGCGCAATCCAATCCAATTTTATAAAAGGACGAAGCAGGGCCAATGACACCGTGTAACTTGGACGACTAGACGAGCATGGAGCGAAAATCCCTTTTCGTTGTCAAATGAAATTAAAATAATGAACCAGCTAGCG